TCGGCAAGTTTAGAATATACTCGGAACACACGAAGTGTCCAAACATACTCTTTCACGATCCGAATGATAGTCGACGTATCATAGCGTAAACACTAAGACGCCAACCACTAACGGACCCCCACCCAGTCAAGTAATAGCCAACGTATCATAGTGGAATACACTAAGACGCAAGCCACCACCAGACTCCCCAAAGTCAGATGATCAGTCGACGTATCATAGTGCAACACACTAAGACGCCAACTACCACCAAACTCTTACTATGCCGAATGACAGTGAACGTATCATAGTGATGGTCGCTAAGACGCCAACTACCACCAGCTATCGATGATATGTCCACCACTGAAGACATATCCATTCATGGTTCCACGTTTACCGTAGACCATATCGTCGTACAGAAGTACCACGCAACTCCATAGTAATATGTCTTATAAAGTCCCAAGTCATTCATTGCTCTTCATTATATTTATATATTCATTATTTTTTCTCTGAGCCTTCACATATTATCACTTTTATTCATTAGACCTTACTTCCATATGATCTTGGTATGGGACGTTCATACAATGTACTTTGACTATAGTACTAAGAGTCGCGATCGACCTCTGTACTTACATATGTGCGGTCATACAAATGTGTCCCCGCACGGTACATAATACTTCGCTTAGAAATCACTAAGTATGGAATTGTATTTAATTGACATAATAGTGATCGTATCTTGCAATATTTTTAATAAATATCCTTTTTTGAGTATTTTTAGTGATTTTTAACTATTTTTTATCAATTTTTGGTAATATCATTTTCTCATACTAACACTTATATTTCTTTAATTTAAGTATATGTTATTAACTTTTATTGTGATTAAACGTTCTTAAACGTTTTATTTTCATCTTAATTGATCTTTATTTTGACTAATTAATAATAATATTTATTATTATTAATAGGTCGTTACATCAGGTTAACATCATGAGAGGACTGCCAAAATCACTTGTCGCGGTTTTTTGATCAGAAGCCCCAGACTTTCTATAGCAATGGGATCATGTCCCTACCTACAACATTGCAGAAAGTTATAGAACAGAATGGCATCTACATACTTTAGTTAAACGTAAATAAACTATAAAAAAATGTTTTGAATTTTCATATAAAATGCGAAGAAACTTTTTCCCAACCTATTATTAATTGTAGTAAGCGGAGGCTTATGCTCAACACTCTCTTAGTTGTCTTATTTTAAAATTACATAATAATTAAATCAACGATGGTCAGAGGAAATGAAACAAGGAGTAAATTTATGAGGTATAATTTATTATATTTACATCTGAATTCGAAATAAAAGTGTACAGTCCATTACATGACAATTCCAAATCTACAACATGCGTAAATAATAACGCGCCTATTGCTATGGGCTCGAGGTTCGCTGCCACATGCGATACTCTTGCAACTAGTCCCTCAACGATTCTAACCAGAACAGTTCGAATCAAAAATTAGCATGTAAAGAACATCTGTATACAAAAGCAATCGATGAATCGATAAAATGATTTTAAAGAGTCTGGGGCATAGGGTGCGGCCTTGCGGAACTCAAGCAAAAGAGGTTTGTCTAGCAATCAGTCTCTCTTTAACAAGCCAATGATTGAGTACAGCCACCATTAAATAGCTAAACTTAAAATTAAATTTAAAATAACTATTTTATATTTAATAGAAATAAGTAGCAGTTATACATTTAACCTTTAGACAGATCGCAAAATAGCTTCCAATATACATTTTTAAATAACCGTTTCTCTTACTGTAGGATAACATTATAATGGTTTGAAAGGACGTTTCACATACGTAAATTTGACATGGACGTACACCCAGATCCGAAACAATTATATGTGGGTCATGACTCCTGGTGCCAAATCCAATACCTTGGCAAAAGCACAACGGAGGCAACTGGATCAAGTTAGTCTTCGTTATAAAACTAAAACTAAACTTTACAGTGAATGACCAGAGGTACAAACCTCGATATGAATTGGTCCTTAGTATTAGAAATAGTACAATTTTATTTTATTTATATTTTTTTTATTTATACTTTATTCAACACCAAAAAAATACATATATATACAAAGCAAATTACAAATGAATGTAAAAGGAAGTACAATAGGCGGTCTTATCGCTCAGCAAGCGATTTCTTCCAGACAACCATTGCGAAAAGAATTTTTGCTAATGAGACATAAGGAAGAGAGCAGAGGGAGGTGCACATGAATCACTTGTAAACACCGGATGAAGGCATTTATACATCAATGAGATAGTCAAAGATTTCGGGAAAAATAGGAAAAGGAAATCATGAGTTTAAAGAATTTTAACATGTGCTAGTAATTGCTAGTAATTGCTTTGAAATACTCGAAACTTTAAGAGTTTAAACTATAAAATTGAACGAGATCCGAAAAAGACGGGTTCATTTAAAATTTGTTCATAAACAATTTGAAGTTTTCGCGTACAACCAAACAGTATCCTACTACCAAATTCTCAACCGACTTTAATAAAGGTTCAGTAGGGTTGAATTTTTTGTCACCGCAATACTATGCAGTCAATTTTGGACCGATTTTATGAGGTAGGAGAGCATGTAATAATTAAAAAAATAAACGACCCTCTTCCTAAGGGACCTGGTTGCAAGAGCCGAGCCTTAAACAGCGAGGTATAAGCAGCAGTGAGCAGCGACCCTCGCGCGCATTTGTACTCTATATACAGACATATACTACACATAGAAAATAACGCACTAGCTAAATTATATAGCTATACATTATCGGTGATACGAAATCCCCACAAAAGTAATTGTAAATTGAAATAATCAAGAGAAACTTTGTGATGTCCATGATTGTCCCTATAATTTTTAGTATGTGGGATGAAACTGAAAACAAATATCTTTCTAGAAGTAAGTATAAACACAAATGCTTGACATGAAAATATATCGTTGAATCACAGCTTTAATTATTTTGTGTCATGTAAGAAGTACTGAAAATTTTACATAATAAAGTCATTGAATGGAATACGTTTAATGTCGAATCTATAAATAACTTATTGATTTCACGACTTTTTAAAAGCGGCATAAATATTTTCGGTACACATAAACTCATCTGGATTAAAGTGATTGAACGCTGACAAATAATAAAAAGAACAGAACCGTTGCCATAAGTCTATTTTCAAGCGCGAACCCTAAAAAATTTTGCACAGTTGAAATCATAATTAAGCCATCCATACAAAATATTACAGTAGTTTTGATTAAATTGAGTGAAAGGAAGACGGACTTAGAACTTGTGTGTGTGAAAGAAAGAGAGAAAAATAGCCAAAAGCGGACCCGATCCCATATCACCGATCACAATAAACCAATGGCATTGCTTACATCGCAGTCTCAAACGTTAACTTTATAAAAAAATAACTAAAAATACAAGTGTGTAAAAAAATATAGAAATAATATCGGTTAATATCATAGTAGAATTGGCGGCACGCCATTTGTTCTTTATCTTTAAAAATAGTACTAGAGTAACAACTGCCTGACACATATAGTACATCTTACTAAGTCTTTGTGACGTAACTGGTTACATACATATTCGGGATCGCAACAAGTATGTCAGATATGTTACATCCCGTAATACAAATCATAATTCCTACCCTTTGAATATCACAAGGATTGTTAGTGAGACCAAAAGTCCATTTGAAAATTCAGCTTGACAGATACTTCAGCTTTGGGTATACATGAATCACTTAATAATACGACGCAATGGTATAAAGAAACTGTTGTAACTTAAAATACAAAAATAATTCTTTTAAATAATTCTCAATAATTATTAACGCTTAAGGTTAAAATACACAGCTTACAATAAGTAGCAATTAAACTTACTGGTATTACTTTATTCGAAATGTCTTTTTCCATGCTTTTCACTTCTCGTGACATATACGTTTAAGGTAAATATTTTAAGAATCACGACAGTTTAATTATAACAATTTGACAGCATTTTAATTCTCAATACAGCGCGAACGAGGCGTTTTGTTCCTTAATTCTGGCCGTAAGCGAAGTAAGTATGGTATCTCCTTTAAATTTACCATAAACAGTAGAGATTCTAAGTGAGATTCCTTCAATGTTTCCATAATTCGGGAATTGGTTTATTTATTTCGCATCGCATTCTCAAAAGGATTACGAAGTTTTCGAAATCTGGGATGTTTTCATTGAAATTTTTCATTAAACTAATTAATTGTGATCTCCTGGGACTATATGAAGATTATCTGAGTTATAATGAGCTACCGGTGCGTTCCTGTCTATCCCATTCGGGATAAAGTTGTAAAGATCTTTAATAGGTTCACAAGAAGATAGCTTTAGATCTTATATTGCTATTAGAAAGGTTCTTCTCCGTTAAATAGATTAATTACCTAGACTACCTTAGAGTCATATCTTAATTATCAATATAGTCAGGAAGTAATTTTAACATTGTCCATAATACTGAAAAATTTCAACGTACAATGATTAATTTTTAATTGCTTAAAGGTAATATCCGACTATCGTCCTAAACGTGAAAATTAGTAATTACCGTAACAAATAAAAAATAATAATTCGCCTCACTGATAATATTGAAGTCCGTTTTAAAATCACATTAATCACCATACCGAATTTAATGAGGCTTACATAATTCCTGTAGAAAGTACACTTCAAAACAAATACTAGAAAGTATTACAAATTTATATTAACTGCGGTTATATCATCATTTACAAAATTACATTACTGTTACAGACCCAAGGAAACTACGAGACTTCGAATTTGCCATTTTTCCCAAAACGGCGTTTGGGACAACTAACGCACCGACGCCTTCGTGACAATTTTTTTTCCCCAACCGGATAGTAAACTTTCGGATAAGTTCATCCACAGTGACTTTTAATATGAAGCAATAATTACGAATGAAAACATCCCGGACTGTGGAACAGCGTATCTGAGTTTCAGCGAGGATCGGAGAGACCATTCACCTGGTCGGCTATCGCTAGCTGGCGCACTTGGTCTTCCCGTCGAGGAGTTTCCGCCAGAGGTCGAACTGCTCGTGGTAGCGCACCATGTGGATGGCGATGCCACGCTGCACCGCGCAGGGGTGCGGCGCCACCTGGGGAGCGTGCGTTCTTACATTGGTACATTTTTCGTCGATACCAGTGTTCATGAGCATTTAAGTCAAATCAGTTGCAAAGCATCGGTAGACCAAAGTTTCTTCTCTACGCAGCCATTGTTTTTTTTTTAATAGCCCTTCATCATCATTATCATTTCAGCCTGTCTGACTCCACTGCTGAACATAGCCTCCCCCCTAGACTGCCACGAAGTACGATCCTGAGCCACCTGCATCCATCCACTATCCGCACATTTCCTCAGGTCGTCACTCAACTATGGCAAAAACGCCTTATGTATGGAAGTCCAAATTGCCCTAGCTATAGGATAATGTTATGCTGTCTTGTAAGAGCGTTTTACAAAAATAAATTTCACGTGGGCAAACATCCAGATCTGAAATCTGTGGACCACACAAATTTTGACCCATGTGGGTATCGAACCCACGACCCCCGACGCCGGAGCAAAGTGAGTGGCACTACCAAGCAAACCTGCCGGTTATTGGAACAGCAGGAACTATTGAGAGGCTCTTCCAAACAAACCTGGTCATTCATAGACCCGCAGAAACTGTTGAGTTGCTCTACCAAACTAACCTGCCCGTTCTCGGTACAGCCGAAACTCTTTACACACTCTTTACACTTTTGACACAGTCAGAAGCTATACTCTTTCACAAAAGCTCTAAGCCGACCCAAATTCAAAATCCTAGAGATCCAGAAATAGAAGCACCACTTCCATCTCACCTTCCGGTTGTAGAACTCGGGCGAGTGCTGCCGCGCGAAGTGGAGGCGTGCGGCCAGCACTCCGGTCACGAACACATCCTCCAGACGGAGGTAGCGCTCTCCGCCGGCGGCGGCCAATAGGGGCCGCACGCAATCCCCGGACACCAGGTAAGCGGGGCCCGTCGCGAAGTCGGGAAACACCTGCGGAGAGGCAGCGTAAATTGGTTAAGATAGTTCCGTGGAGAAGTCGCCAAGGTGTTGGCTTCGGCGCCGGGGGTCGTGGGTTCGATTCCCACACGAGACAACTGTTTGTGGCGAACAGATAATTGTTTCGGATCTGGGTGTTTGTCCAATTGATAGTTTTGTATGTAAAACGCCTTTACAACACAGGATCATGTTCGGAACTAATATTCACAAAAATAAAAAAAAACAAATTCTTCCTCTATCGAACAGAGTCAATTTAGTTTAAGAAATATATGAGAATGCACCCTTATTTTATGGATAGGTTTATTAATTCTTGTAGGATGCTGACGACGTCAGAGAACCAGAATAAGGAGCAGTACTTGCGTAAGCATTTAAATAGATCTCGTTTCCTGGTTTTAAGAGAACATGGCAAGCCAGCGATTCAGGAGCGTTGCAAGTTACAATAAGAAGCTCATTAATTTAACAACAGTGTGCGATGATCATCTCAATATAAGTATTTTTGACTGTTCTGCAATTTAGTGTATGAAAAAAACCAGATATTGAATCCATGAAGGTGTACCTCGTCAATACATCCAATGACATAAGCTACATAAACATTTGAGAATTTAACTGTGGAGTATTTTGTACACGTTCTAATTCATCGTCGCATACCGACTCACCTTCCCGGGGAACTGCAGCGGGGACACGTAGTACTTCGACTTGGTGGTGCGCTTGGGCAGCGACTTGCGCACCACCTTGCCCCAGATCGTGCGAGTCGCGTTCACCCTTCCCGGCGCAAGGGCAAAGCGCAGCAGCCGCGGCACGTTTATGAACATGTCGTCGTCGGTCTTCAACAGGCGAGGGGCGCGCGGGCAGTAAGTGTCCGCCCATTCGAGCATCGACAGGGTCTTCAGCGTGAGGTTCGAGTAGGAGTCTATCGAGCGGCCCACTATGAGGTCCCCGTAGAGGGCGTCCTCCGCCTCGATGGCGGGCCGTAGCGCGGCGGGCGGGGCGCCCAGTACGAAAGCGAGGGCTACGTCGCTACGCGCCGCGTAGTGGCCCCACGTGAGCCGCACCGCGTCCCTAGCGCTAGCGTGCGAGGGCGCCGACGTGATGAGCACTAGGAGCTGCAAGCGCGCCCCCAGCGCCGGGCACAGCTCGGGGTGGGGGCGCTCGTGGCCGGCCACGTACACGTCGCGGGTGAGGACGATGCGCGGGTCGCGGGGGGGCGCTGGCGTGGGGGCCGGCTGCGCTACGTGGGGCGCGGGGGGCGCGGGGGGCGCTGGCGGCGCGGTGGTGGTGTTGGGCGCAGTGCGGAGGGGCGCCGGGGCAGGGGGCGCGGGCGGGGGCAGGGGGCGCGGGCGGCGCGGCGGGGGCGCGGGCGCGTGGCGCGCTAGCAGCAGCAGCAGCAGCGCGCCTAGAGCGCCGAGCGCGGCCGCGTGCGAGCGCCGCATCGCGCCCGCCGCGCCCATCACGCCCATCGCAGACGCTCAATCCGCACTCTGGAATAACACGACGAGAGTTGAGTGTCAGTGAAATCAATCATACACGGAGAAATCTGTACACGATAGACCTATACAAGTCTCTACAAATTAATTCGACCATTATTAAATTTTTTCTAGTACTAATCTTTATGCACCTAAGATTTATGAAACATTTTTCTACACATTTTAATCGACCATTATTGATTAACGATAGGACGGCCATTACACCGCATAACGCTTGGAGTGCCATGGATGTTCACTATGATGATAATATTTTTTTAGAGATATTACACAAGTACGTATGTACTCGTATGTGCTCAGCTTACTTTATGTAAGTAATTGTCCAAAAAGTTGACTTAATTAAAGTAATTACTTTTACAATTTGAAAGGCGTTCTTTCAGACAGTTCTTTGCACTTTTTCGGTAACATAGCATTTATTAACGTCACAAATACACCTAATTTAACGATTAGCTAACAAGTTAAATGAAGCATACAGTACATTTTCACGGTTACATTAAGAAGTCGGTTACAGTATATCATAAGATAAAAATAATCGCTGATACTATTTGCAGAAGCAGATAGTGTAGATGTTTTATTTGGAAGTAGATTGCAAAAGATTGCTAAACAGTTAAAAATTAACACACACAACGGGTGAAAATCATAAGCGCCGTTTTGGACTTTTTAGAGTTCCGTATCCAAAGGGTAAACGGGACCCTATTTCTAAGACTCCTTTGTCTATCTGCCTGCCTGCCTGTCTTTCTGTCTGTCTGCCTGTCTTTCTATCCGTCTGTCGTCAGGCTGTGTATCAAGAACCATGATAGTGCGACAGTTTAAATTTTCACAGATGATGTATTTCTGTTTGCGCTATAACAACAAATACTAAAAACTAGAATATATTTATTATAGATAATAGTACGGAATCCTTGGTGCGCGAGTCCGACTTGCAGTTGGCCGGTTTTTCGAATTTATAGTTTACACCACAACATAAGCCAAACTTAATGCCTAATAAGCATACTCGGCCAGTCAACTATTCACAATACTACCCCGAAATATAAGTATAAATGTATTAATAAAAAAAAATTATATAAATGTACTTAGGACACATAATAAATACTATACAGGATAAACTATTTCCGTTACGTACGTTAATCAAGATGATCCAGCATCAACCACTTCGAAAGCTCAATATCGAAATCAGAAAAAGATCACGATGTCAATTTCGTGGGATTACAAAAGTGCTGTGTATTTTGAGCTGCTACCAAATAGCAAACCATCAAATCAGATGTTCACTGGCTACAATTTATGAAATTTGAGAAAGTGAACAACGAGAAAAGTCCAGTTATTTATTGATTAAAACTTCGAGATTTTCTTATCAACTCGATATAATTTGATCGCAAATGTACTATTCGCATTAATATAGACGAATAAATGAGAACGAATTAGTGATATAACTAGTACAAATCTAGGAGTAGCATTCATCATAATGTATCCGGCGACAAGGACCATAGCGGGGCTGCCACCAACCGCAACGAACAAGCGACCTCAATCATTTACACGACCTCAGGTTGAACCTTCACGCCAGGATACCTCTGTATCACATGCACTGACCTCCATACGACAAAGTTTCTTAGCTTTTAGCATTCAAACACAGACAGCTCTAGATAAAATTGGGACGGGTTTAGGTTTAAATTACGTTACACAGTAGTACAGTTTAAAGTACGTCTGTCGTCTAAAGGGTTAGGCAAACAATTTTCAGTTTCCAGGATCATCCAAAACATGTTTCGCCTCTTCAAATGCGGAAGTATCGGTATAATTTTACATGAAAATGATAATAATAGAGTCGATGACGCTGGTTTTTGCAGGCCTGACAAAAGTAGGCTTGTCCTGGTAGGAACAATGCATGTACGCAAAATGGTTCTGTAATGTCAGTTCTCATGTATACATTTGGCATATCTTAGTCCACACCATTATGACGCCCCATAGGATATCCGACATCGTCTGTGATGAGTGCCTACAGCCATAAACGAAATATAGTCATAAGAATAAAAAAAATCTACATTTAAGGGTTCACCACATCACAGTTTGACTGGCAGAGAACGCTGACTAATTAAGTCAATCTTTTATTGTCATTAAATAAACATATCAACGTTCACTATTTAAGTGTTAACTCTATCACCGTTTTACTTGTAATAATAGACAAACCAATCCCAAGCGAACCTTATCGCTGGCATTTATCAGGGATTGCCGGTGCACTTGCGGGAACGCTCATAATAACGGGGCCGCCTAAGATAGCGAAGACAAAAGCTTGAGCTGCACAATAGACCTCGAGCTAGATGAGACTGCCCGCCATTAAGCCAGATTGTGGCACCGGAAGACCCCCGCGCCCCACCTCACGGAAACCGCTCGCACGAGCCTACATTAGGTGATTACCGACATATATTTTACATATCTAGATGACGATGACTGATATATATATAATAAGCTCATGTGTTTTGTTTTCTTTCCCGCTGCACAGGAGATAAGTCAGAGCTTAAATTACAAACAACAATTTCATTGGCGGCGACACCGGGAATTGACTGCTCAAGTATACTGAATTAAAAGAAAGCATCCGGTCACTGAGCTATCACGGCCCAATGTATATGACGATAGAAAATTGTGAGACTGCGTCTTATTCTTTACCATAACGGCATAGACAGTAAGACTGCTGCAGTGAACATCAAAGAGGAATTTTTACAATAACACAACAGGTTAAACTCATTCTCAAACGACACTAACTAACATACATACTCCAGGAAAATGTGTGTACATAGTTGTACAGAGTTGAAATGTACAAAGTTGAGCATATCCTTGCTGAGTCTTAGCTACTTAATAGTACTTACTATGTATGAACATCTGATATGTATTTACGTATATATGTATGCATGTATATATATTTATATACATGTTTATGTTGGTAGTTTTTAGATTTATTACCTAATTATTACATATTATTTATTTAATTATGTATCGATTATAACTACTTTACTGCCCTTGACATTTTGTTTCTGTTCTACCTAGGGTTAGCTGGTTGAGAATGCAATATAGCATTAAGCTCGCCTTTGTACAATTTTCTGTGCAATAAAGATTAAATAAATAAATAAAAATGTTCACAGAAGATGTGATCACAATGAAACAATTATCTGTGGGTCTAAGAAATAGTTGTTCCGTGTGGGAATCTAACGCACCATAAACCCATACCTTGGCAACTCGGCCACGGAGTCATCGACAAGTTATTCCTCAATATACATTTCGGTGACTGTTCACGGTATTTACGGAAACGATATTGGATTTTTGTTTACTTTTGAGAGAATTTAATTCAAGATGGACGTTGTCCTCTTTCGTTGTTTCTTTTTAGGGTTCCGTACCCAAAGGGTAAAATGGGACACTATTACTAAGACTCCGCTGTCTATCTGTCTGTATGTCACCAGCCTGTATCTCATGAACCGTGATAGAGAGTTGACATTTTCACAGATGATGTATTTCTGTTGCCGCTGTAACAACAAATGCTAAAAACAAAAAACAATATTTAAGCGTGACTCACATGCAACAGATTTTTGTCGTTTTTAGATAATGGTACGGCACCCTGCGTGTGCGAGTCCGACTCGCACTTGGCCGGTTTTTCTTTATTTTTCTAATACCACAACGACGCAAAACGACGACCTAGCAACGCCAGAACTGCAGTCCTTAAAAACTTGATGGTTTCATATTCGTCTTAATAAACTACTCGAGACGTAGTTATACCTTTCCACCTAGTTAATGCTTATGGGAGCGAAGGTTTCTTTATACACTTTAAACACCAGACCTACAACTTACAGTTTAATAAACATTTAACTTATTTAAAAATAACTGCATACCATTTATATGAACAAATTTGCTTTCTGTTGAAAGAAAAAACATAATGACTTCCTATTAATAATAATAATCTTTCATTTATTATTTACACTGTCACTTGTTTTACCATGTGTTAAAACTTTCAAAATATATTGGTACAGGTTATATAAATGTTACGGGGCGCAACATCGAAAACAAATTAACTGTTTGCATCTAGTTTATAGTCAAAATAAATATATAAAACTTTTTTTCAGCGTAGCATCAATGGGCAACAAGTGCCGGCAAATACGATTGCCAGACCTCATTTTAAGCTTGGCAACTACAGCTATGATATGGTGATAAACTGTCTAAAGTATGTTGAAATATGGTCACCACTTTTTGTATGCATCCACTTTCCTCCAACCTATATGGACCATCATAACAATAACTTTTAAATAAAACTGTTACAAATATTTTTTCGTGTTTAATTTCGTTTAAAAGTCACGACTTTTCAGACACAACAGTCGTCACGTCTCATCATCAACGTCTCGTGACCACCACAGATGCTGTGATATGGTCGAGATTGAATCTAAAAAATCGAGAATTATGAAACGATATTAGACCATGGCTTATTACCGTGGCTTCAGAGAAGACCGACGTCAAATGGAAGTTTATACTTTCGCGTTACGTCTGGTGAGTGAGGTAACCGGGGCCCACTTTTTAAGGTTGTTGACCTAAGTTGTTGCAGATGTCAATAGGTGGATTTTCACTGAACAATAGGTGAACCGCCTGCACGCTTCACAATTTTTATCTACATAAAAAAACCCAAGCAAATCCTTTAAAATAAGCTCATTCGAAAGTGTGTGTGAGTTCGAGTTAAAACAAGAAATCATTATCGTGTTTTGCTCGTTGCAAAATTGATTGCTTCCTCGAATACCATCAATGCGAATTAGCAGGTTTATCTAATTTAATGAAGACTGTCAGTCTTCATTAATAAATCTTAACGTAGATTTTTAAGAGCTGCGATAGCTCTGTGTCCGGGCGCTCGCCTTTAAAAATGTACTACGAGGTGGGCTCAACGAAATAATTGTTCTTCACGGCCATCAATACTTTTCCATTACGCCACTAGCGAGTGACATTCACAAAAA